AATCCGACATCCTCTTTGTGATATTTTCGCATACCATCTCTTCTAGTTTTTTTGATATTGCATTTTGGTTGCCTTCTATATCTATCGTTTTGATTTACTCATCAATGTTGAGAAGCGATTGAGCAAATAGTGCTATTTAAATAAATTTGCTAAATTGTAGGGTGCAAAAATTGAATTTACATGAAGGATGATAAAAGTAAAGATTAATTAAAGTAATTAATTAATATATAATACAGAGAAAATACGCCGTATACTATCATATCCTGACTTTCGAGTCTTAGGTTCGATGGCTTCAATAGAATATATTAAAAAATAATCCATCTTTTGTTGTTATACCATTAATTAACTTAAGTTACCTCTTACCTTATCTTACATAAAGATGTAATGAAATTGACTGATTTATTTGTTTCACAAAACAAAGCTTGGCGTTTAACAATCAAGATTATACAGAGCATAAAATTATCCGATAAAGATGATGATGAACTGGATCGGTTCAAACGAATATAACTTGAGAATAATTGTACCCTAAGTCTGTTCGAAAATGACATTAACCCTTTTGGATGATGAATACGTAATGAGAGATAAAGAGACTTCCTCATGTTTTATCCGTGCATTCTCTCTAAAAAGATAGGCAAATTAGTGTAGAAATGAGGAATGAAAATGGTTTTTACGGGAACTGACATTTTCTTCAGTTATGCCTACTCCTTGACAATCTGTAGAATCTGTAGCGAATGTTTTTTTCTTACATCTTTAGTAGTCCCTTAAATTTTATCACCTATATATTGCTGTCAATATTCGTTTCTCTCCTCTGAAGCTCTTCGCCACCTTAGTCAAGAATGCCTAGACCAGTACACAGCTGAGGCTGCAAGTCTTGGCCAACGGGTGGAGGAAAACAGACGTCATCTTCGCGAAACAGTAGAACAGCGTCGCAAAATGGAGCTTTTACTTTTGGAAGCACGCACAGATGCGGCGGCAGCAGTAGCCTCAACCACTCAGTACGATGTAACCGTCAATGAGGCTGATGCATCCATGGACCTTGCTCCATCTGCTTCAGGAGCTGAGTCTGCCAGTAATCTCTCTTTGGTTGTGTTTTCTGAAAACTCTGCTGCCAATATAACTGAGACGAATCCTGGCAGATTTCTTCATGGTCACCAAAAATGAAGTATTTTTTTGCGGTCAATTTTTTAAATATCTTTCTATACACATATCGGAATATATCTTATCAGACATTCTGCGAAAAGGACTTTCGTCCTTACCCCCAGCTGCTGCTCAAAATTTTGGCCAGTACTGGCTCGTTCGTTTATTTCACTCATTTTTATGTTGGCTCTTAACTAATTAATTATGTTTAGAATATTAGGCTTTGCTTACCTTTGAATGAGCACTGATATTATTTTTGCTACGATAAACCTCCTACAACAAAAGAATATGGTGGTTATAGGCTCATCAAAATCTCATTTATTGGCATTATCTACGTATCAATTCGAACTCTTAAGAATAAATTCATCTTGCTTAATGGTCTTATTTTTAGTATTTCTTACATTGGATAGCACACAAGTATTACGATTTCGAGATGAAGTAAGACTATTTTGCTTGTGCCAAATTAATATTAAGTGTTAATTTTCGCTACTTCTTCATAGCCTAAATGATATTTACTATCTTTACAAAGTCTCTCTTCTATTTGCATCGTTACAGCTACCCATAGAGCAAGTGAAATGAGCCAGAAAAAGACATTAATTTTACTTATAATGAGCATTTTTCGACACTTGTTGGATCTGGCGTAAGAGTTATAATCACCCTATATCACGATGCAACTGAATTTCGCTTGGCCCGGCTTTAGTTTAGACCTTAACCGGGACCCAAATCCGGATAGTGCAGCGTAGCCACTAAATCACAACTCTGCTAGTGCCAGTTGGCCACAAGACCTATTCCATATCATTCCACGCTGGGATTGTCAATGGGGCATACTTCTATTTTGCCATTAAATTTCGAATTTATCATATTAGATTGAGAACCAATTTTTTGGATGCATAAAGCACTGAAATTATCGCAATGGAAAGTTTTTTATCAGTTGAATAATCAAGTGCCAATGTCTAAAACGTCCATCGAACAATGCTGCTCGCTTCATGTTAGAGACTTCCTGAGAGGCTTTGTTTGATTATAAAGGAATTGAATCTGATGACAAACTTTTTTCCTACCAGCTACTTCCTATACACAACTGTAATTTTGAGGAGCCTTCCTCCACTTTGAATTGCTTTTCTGCCCTATAGCGTAATGATTAGGAGCACTGAGTGCATTAGCTATGATAATTTTATATGTACCTCCATTTTCCCCATTCTTACCCCATGGTGGCGACCGTATATAGACGAATAGTGTCTGCATTCTTAAATGAGATTTCCTTAGAGAATTGATATCTTCGTCATTCTATGACCGTTTAATTTTTTCTTTATATATTTATTTATAATATTCTATAGTTGCAGGGTGCGAGACTATTTCTTATTAATTAAATACAATCCTTACTTCATACGGGGTTTAGAATTTCAAGAGGCATTTCAACCTAGGAATAAACATGGGCTTTTGTAGATTTTTTTATATTGGTAGGTTTCGAGGCTATTCGTAATTCTTAAATAGGAACTTAGTCACCATATTCTGCTTAAGGTTATTTGAAACGTCATAATTAAGTTTTTCGACAATGAGGTTAGTAGGTCTCACGATGTCACTTTGCTCACGACTCTTCATGGGATTCCGCTGGGGGCGCAGATGAGGTTTATGCGAGGTCCAAACTGCAATCCATTCTGGCTGAGATAAGCTTTAAAGAGCAAGGCTAAGTGAAATTCACTGGCATCATGAGGCCTACTCATCCCATTGTGGGAAAACCTCACTATCAGTCTTTACATCACTTTAAACGACCTAATTCTTTTCGTTGAATATCTTCTGTCATTCATATAAGGATAATTTTGTGTCTAAAAAATTACTTCAATTAATTAACTACATTGAAAACTAAAAGAAGTTAGAATTATTTCGACTTAGTTTTCGCAGCTGAAAACTTCGCATAATTACGATATTAGATCAAAACACTCGTATATGGCGAAAGGAGAGTCCGACTAAAATCGAAGCCACACCA